TATATATATATAAAGCTTATTGTGTAAGCGGATACCCTTCTAGCACAATGGGTGGCCCATGACCTGACCCACTACACACTTTTTTACCGGGTTGGGTGCCCGACCAGATAATTTAGGAAAAAATGAAATATACTCACCTGGAATTTATTGGGTCAGCGGGTCGGATCAACTGGGTCGGGTATTTTTAAACACTCCTATATCAATCAATCAATCAAATCCTTAATCCCATAAGTGAGGTCAGCAATAATATTAAGCCTCCACCACTAGACCACTAAGCACATACAGAAGAATTTTTAGGGTTTGGAAGGAGGAAGAGAGAGAAGAGAGAAAATACAGAAGATTTTTTTATAGAAGAAAATTTGCTTTTATATTATTTCCCATCTAATTTTCCATTTTTTTTTTTTTTTTGAGAGTAATACACTACTCCTTCCATTTCCTATTGTTAATCTCATTCAGAATCTTTTGACAATATAAAATTAGAGGGAATCTTCTAAATTTATCTTTATATATAAGAACAAACGTATATAGTCATATACTCATATGAGATCTAGTTTTATTCGTCTCGGTGAGTATTTTATTAATATTTAATTTTTGCTAGTGTAATATTAAAGAGATTTGCGACTAAAATTTGCATCAATATACGTAAATGGGACAACATTTTGAAACGGATGGAGTACTTATTTTTTACGAGGAGTAAATAAACCGCTTTAAATTTACTAATTTTTCTTACAATTTTTAATAGCCCTAAGATTGCAATTTAATTTTATTAATTACTTAATAAAGTCAATCAAACAACTTTATTAGTTATTAGTTAAAGCTACTATTGACTCAATTTGAAAAACCAACTTAAGCTGGTAATGATCCGAAATTGATCCATACTTAAACAATTAATCTTAACTTGAATTGAACTCAACTTGATATTAATTGATGATTGATTTGGCCTAAAAAAACTGTAAAGAAAATATTGCCCGAGTCGGACTCTCTTTGAGCTTAATCAGTTAATCACACAAGTTTGATTTTCATCATCTTTTCTTCACCTTCTGCAACAACAATATACTTTTTCATTTTCCTCTCCAAACCATTGCCACCACCATCAAACTCACCAACGGTATTTAAATGGTTGCTTTTAAATTGGTTTTGGTGGGCCTTATGGTTCCAATTAGTTGTAGTTCATTTGGTTTATTTTGATGTCTAACTTGTATTCTTGACTTATGACTTTTATTGACTTTTTGAAAAGGTTTGGCTCTGACTTCCGATGTATGTGTCTGATAAAATGCTTTAGTTATTATCATGATGACAGTAATGCTTTAATTAATTCCTTAATTAGTTTAATTAAAAAATAAAGATGATTTCAAAATAAGGGAATTGTTTACTTCTCTAAAGAACCATGTAAGTGCTTTCGTGGGTACTCTTTAAGCTCGTGACGTCGATGTTGATGTAAGCCCGATGGGATGAAAGTGTTCATGGTAATTCGCCCTAAGCTAAGGCCGGCGGGATGAAATTGTTCATGGTAATTTGCCCTAAGCTAAGAGAGACCTAGAATTTATGGTTGGATTTGAGCAGAAGGAAATTGGGGATTTGGTAATTAAGGTAGGAAGGATAAGTGAAGCAAAGAAAAGAGGAGAGAAAAATTTGATATTAGTATGCCAAAATATGATATAAAACTGGCAAAATCTTACGTAAAAGAGTCAAATTTTGATATAGAATCAAAATCTGATATTAAAATGTAAAAATCTAATTTTAGAATGTCCATATCTGATATAAAAAATGTATCAATTTGATATAAAATTATCTAAATATGATGTAAAAGAGTCAACTCTAATATTAAAAAAGTAAAAATATCAAGTTAATAATAACATAGATATCTATTTACAAATAAAACTACAAAAAGTACACTATTATATAAATAAGCGATATGATATCGTATGTCTAAATATTTTACATTATAAAAAAGGGTTATATGATCGTATTTAACATTCAAGCTAAAAAGTTTAGGACAATCCGGGCATCGTCCGGGCACAAAACTAGTCACTAATAAATAAAGCGGGTCTCGCAACCAGGCCACGAGACAACGACATTTGACATTCCAGTTTTTTGCCAAGTGTTGAGCTATGTAGGCGAAAACTAGGTATTATTGTGATTAGATTAGATGCCACGTTAGATTAGATTGGATAGATTTGTTTAGGATAAAAAAATATACATAAAATAATTTGTAATTCTTGTGAAATTTTTTTATCTTTTTATTGAAAATAGAATTTTACTTATAGCAATACACCGCATATTATAATTAATATGAATATCCAATTAACAATAGAATTTTACCCCTATACGAATAACCATGTAATTATAATTATAAATATGGCCCTATATCATATATATATATATATATATATATATATATATATATATATATATATATATATATATATATTTTAGTCTACCATTGATTTATTATTAAAGCTTTTGAATCAAGTATTCTTCATATTCGATTGTAATATTTTTGTGTACGTTTGCGATTTTGTTAATGAAATTAAAGAAGTAAAAAACTACTAAAATTAGGACGCAACAAAAAATGTGGAATCTTGAAGTGAATTCAGATCAATGTTAGAAATGTATTAGAACTTTACGGGTTTTTCACTTAAAAAACATTTCAATAATTATTTTTTTTTATGTTAATCATATTATTATTATTTTCAGCTTATTTTAAGAACAATGGAAGCAATAAACGGTAAAAAGTTCTACTACTATTTTGCATTATCAAAAGGGTTTATTTGACCATATTTAACATTCAAACTAAGATATTTATACTAAAATTTATCAACAATGCAAACATCACTCGGGCACAAAACTAGTAATAAAATAAGGTCGATGTCGACACTACTTATTTACCCATCCTGAAACAAGTGACAAGCTAAGTAAAACAAGTTCAATAAATATTTAATTCGAGTGTGATTCAATAACCATTCAAAAAATTAATTTAACATTATTAGTAGGATTGTTTTATTGATATAAGTTTTAATTTTGCTTCAATAACATGTTTGTAACTTTTGGTCAAATCTTGGCCGTCGATTCTTGGAAATTGTAATTAAATAAGTTTATTTGACTCGTCTAATCCAATAGAATCCAATTCTAACCCTACAATAACTTGATTTAAAGTTTATCCAACTTAATAATTATTCCAAATGGAAACATCTTCTGTAAAACTACTCCAAACTGGAATCAGCACAATCTGAACGTTAAATCAAATTCGAACAAGTTTTGTCTCAATTAAACTTACCTGCGCCCGATAATAAACAGCCTGACATTACATGAAGGTCTAAATTAATCATGATCCCGATCCGAACCTTGAGCTGAGTAAACAAGAGGCTAAATTGACTCTACTTGAATAAAACTTGAGATTCGACATGAGTCAAACTAAACCAATCAAACCTTAACATCCTAATTACCAATTTTATTGTCAATCAATTAATAATTACTTATAGGAAAAATTGATAAAAATAATCTCAACTTTGTACATTGTACCATCTTTAAAAAATAATCCCCACTTTTGATTATTCTTGAATATAGGTACCTTTTTATAATAATTCGAACTTTTATTTTTTATATACATAAAACTATAAAAGTCTCAAAAGGGATCAGCAAAAGCAACAAAAAAAACATTTCGAATTATTTAGGAAGTTACCTATATAAGTTGGACTTATTCCAATCAAAAGTTGGGATTATTTAATGAAAACCGGCAAAAGTTGGGTTTATTAAAACCAATTTTTCCTTATTATATATAACGATTGTACCTACTAGTCCCTCCGTCCCTAATATTTTGCCCCATTTGACTACGGTCTCCAATACGTGACTAAAAGTAGTTTTATCTCTATTTCCATACGTGTAAAATTTTTAAAAACTAGAAATTAATTAATATACAATAAGACAAATCCTACAAGAACCCACATTGCATGCCTGTATTATCTATTGTAGATTTATGGTATTTTATGGTCAAAGATTTTAAAGTTTGACTCAAAGTTTTGCAATGGAACAAAAATAAAGGGACAAAGGGAGTATCTAATAGGGTATCTCTCCTCTCTCTAAAACCATAGCCACCATTATTGAATTTTAAGGGGGTCTCTTTACTTTTGTTTGTTTTGGTTTGTAATAAATCTTCCTCTTTAGGAAGAACTATTTCCCTCAAAAGAGTGAGTTCTTCTTCTTTAGGAGAATCCTTTCTCCTTTAAAAGACTGGGTTTAACTTCTCCTCTTTTGATGGAGATTTTTTTTTTTTGTTTGATGGATTGTCGTGAAATCGTTTCATTGTTAAATAATATACAGGATTGCAAAAATTATTTATTAATTTCTCGAATACAATAAGATAAATCGGATGACAATAATCCTCATGACAACAACAAATCACTCCAAAAATACTGTATATTGCAGCGAGGTAAGTGGGAGATACTCCCTCGTGTAAGATTTACTCGACCAATTGTAGTTTAAAGGAAGGATTTCTTATTTGATTCAATATATAATGTATTTGTTTCATTCATATATATTTTGTAGATGTTGCATGACTTTTTTTTATTAACAGATTGATTTTACTTTCAAAAAAATTATAATCACTTATTAATATCGAAGAGAGTATTATTCAATCAAATAACAACACTTATTAACAAGAGGGTGTTTATATTTTTATTTTTTTTATATTTATTTTTTGAAAGGAAAAAAAAAAAAAAAAAACTAGAGGGAGTATAACTTGGGCCTTTCAAACTTGTTGCAATAAATAAAGAATTATTATTATTTTCAATTTTTTCACCATATACCACTGAGTTTTTCAATTATTCTCCATATACCCATGAAAATTTTCAAATTTACCATATGTCTTTGAGTTTAACACTACTACATTTTCGATCAAATGCAACGCCAAAAAATAAGCTATTGCAACGCCCTATTCAATGCCATCGCAATAGATAGCCTATTGCAACGGTAGGATTAACTAATACAATAGTCAATTATATATCATATCTACTGCAACGGACCCTTATATACCATTGCAATAGATTGAGCTAATACAACGGCAACAAGAGCTAACACAACGGCTGCTAAACTTTTAATATTTTTTTCTTTCCCTCCATACTTTATACCCAAAATTTTGAAATTCTAAATTAAAGTGTCCAAATATTTTAACCCCCGCGGTTTTCTTATCTCCAAATTAAAAAAAACTCCAAATTCCCCGTCTTCAATTCATATGGTTAGGGATTCCTCCAATTTTGCAACCTGCCTCCTCCATCCTCGAGAACCCGTTATCCATTGAAGTCCATTGAAGCAGTACTCTGAATCCTTTCCTCTCTGGTCCAATGAAGCAGTACTCTAAATCCTTTCCATTCAAGTTGTATTTTGAATTCTCCATTGAAGCCGTACATTAAGCTCTTCCCTGAAACGACTTTTGAGCCTTTTGTTCTCCATTGAATCAGCTTCTCGGGTAAATTGTATTTTTTTTCTTTTAAATCATCAACGACTATCGATTTTACAATCTAGGGTTTGCCTCTTGGCTTTTGTTTTATTTTCATATTTTTGATTTTAGGTAATTGATTTGTAAAAAAAGGATTTGTAATTGATTTGTAAAAATTAATGAAGTGTTTGTCAATGTTCAAGGAAGATTTCAGCCTGATTTTGCAATTCCGATCCCTTGGAATTTGATTTTGCGAAGCTTTGGAAATAGTTTGATAGTGTTATTGGTTTTAGCTCTTAAATTAGTTGTTGCTACACCTCTATACTTGATACTGTTTTGCTTGCTGGTGGTGGTTCTGGTGCTGATGCTTGTGTTTATGGGTTGTTGTTGCTGCCTGTTTCTTGTTGTACAAGTGCTGGTGTGTTGCTGGTTTTTGGTTGGCTGCTGCTAGTTTTTGTTGGGTGATGCGAGTACTATGGTGGTGTTGCTGGGCTCTCCTGCTGCCTTGAGTCTGTTTCTGTTTGGAGCTGCTGCCACCTTCTTTGTGTTGCTTTTGGGGTGGCTCTTGCTGTTGGGCTGGGAACTCCTCAAGCTTAAAGTGTTTATGTGGTAATCATCAAAATTCTTTAGAATGCGAAATTGGTTAATTAATTTACTTTAATAACTTAATTTTAATAATTTATGAAAATTGCAGCTCGAAGAAATCTGGAAAGGGAGGAAACAGGTTCTGGAAGAGCATCGGTTTGGGTTTCAAGAGTCCCAAAGAAGCTATCGAAGGTTCTTTCTTTTCTTTTTTTAGGTTGATTCTTATATGTATTTGGATTAATATTTTTAATACAAGTTAATATGTTAGTTTATAGATAGATTCACATTTTGCATTTTATTTATAATTGGATACACCTCTATTTTGAATTGGATACACATCTTCAAGTTGTTGCTGTTCCGATGTAAATGATATTCCATTGGTTGTCTAAATATGAAACGAAGCAAATTTCGTAGAGGCATGTTCAGTGGTTAAGTTCTATTCTTACTCTGTGAATTCTTGTTAAAAATTTAAGCCATTTTACTCCATTATTTTGTTCTGTAGTTTTATTCATATATTGATTTTACTTAGTTCTCTGTATTTGTGAATTATTTTTCAGAATCTTGTTTTTTGAGTTATGTTGTGATTTGTCCTAACTTCTTGATTAATAATATTAAGTCGAATAAATATTGTTGGCGCTTGATGCGTATATTATTGTGGATCTTCAGTACCAGAATTATAGTCATAGCAATCCTATTATACTATCATACAAAATCTGCATCCAACTCTGAAGGACAATATAGATGCCAACTTGCCAAGTAGCACTGATTAGACTTGTGTACAAATGACTACAACTACAACTTGGTATAATGACTAACTGATCTGACTATACACCTCATTGAGTTTCTTGTCTGATCATGTTAAGATGAGCTAAAACTGAATTTAGAGATATAATCCAATCTATAGCGTCTTTGTTGCTTGTCTCTTGAAACACTTGTTTATTTTGAGAAAAAAAAAATGATTTGTAGGGTTGTATTATTTTATCATACTACGCTACTAATATAAGTGAATTTGCAGATTCAGTACAATATGCATGTCTTTGTTGCTTGTTCCCATGAAACTCTCACCTTCTTTTTTGAAAAAGGCAGGAAGACCATTTTGGATTGTCCAATTTGATCAGTGAGTTTAAGCTGAATTTATGGTTTATGACTGCTTCACAGCTGGCGAATCCTGATTCCAAGAGGAGACCACTGAGATGGAAACCTGCTGCTGTACGTGATATATCTAGATTTTGGGTTATATTTGTTGTGCTATGCTCTTTGGTAGCTGGAAAATCAATGCTATGAGATTAGTTTAATTTTTTAAGAAAATGTTTGCAGCTTTATGTCCAATTATATGGAATATTGAGTTTTTTTATTTCGCTCTATTTTACTTGAACCAGCAGAGAAGGTCAGTGAACAAAGTGCAGGAAAAGAAAAAACCTATTCCTCAACGTAGAAAGGTAAACCTGTTCAATTTTGCATGGAACGATCTAGTACTAGTATTTCCAGTAAGGACTTTAGTAACTTTATCTTGGCATGTATCAACGTAGATAGGTAAACCTGTTCAATATTGCATGGAACGATCTAGTACTAGTATTGCAAGGAAGGACTTTAGTAACTTATCCTGGCATGTATCAGGTTGATTCTAGTCAGAAAGAAACTCAGAAGGCACGCAAAGATTGTTGCAAAACTGCTTTGGATTTAGCTAGCCATGACGAAAATCTCTGTTCATTTCCAACAAAGGCAGATGATGAAGAGCTTGAGCTAAGGGAGCTCCAAGCTGGACCAAATCCACTAACGTGTGGTGCTCATTTTGCTAATGGTGGGAAGACTGGAAATTATGGCTGTTCTCTTTGCAAAGGTTTGTTAATTCTTTTCCCTAAAAAATGGCAACTATTTGCTTACTCTGCCTCTTATAGAGCTTCAAAGTTCACAATTACCATTTTTGGCGTCCCAACATGAACTTCAATTTCATTTGTTATAAGAAATTATAACCGATAACTTAGAGCCTGTTCATTTCATTGTGAAATATCAGTTTCTTTGAAACTAAATAAGATTAAAAGAGATTATGAAAACCAAAAGTTTCCAGATTTTTGTTAGTTTTCAAAGCTGACTCGATTAATCTAACTAATTTTAAGTTTATTGTTCAACATATATCAGATGACTTAATATCCTAAAACCTAAAACTGAAAGATGGCAGAGATATCGAATGGCCTTGTAGGTATTATATCTTGTTTCTTCCCTTCAAAATTCTGATTTAATTTTATTCTGTCTATGTAATCCCAATTATTTCGATCATGCGTCTAGTAAGTACTCTTATTCTCTTTATTAGCTCAAGTGTGAATCAATTTTTTAGATGATTGAGAGTTTATAAAAAACTACTATTTTCTTTCCATTACAGACTACCAATGCTTTGTTGTAAACAGGTCTTCTGCCTAAGTTCCCCCCTGAATCTGTTAGAATGAGAAAGTCGTTCCATATGCAACCTTGGAACTCTTCCTTGGAGCTTGAGAAGAAACTTTTTAAGGTATTTTAATATGATTGTTCTTTCTGAATTTAGGATATAGATGCATACATCCAACAATGAAATGAATTGATAATATTCTGGATATAATAGTCTTGTATGTTATTATTAAGTGACTGTTAAGATACTTAAAGGTATAATTTGTTTGTTTAGATATTTTTTAGTATTTTCTATGGTACTAGGTGTCATGTTTTTAAAGTGCCAAGTGAGCTTCCATATGTTGTTGTCTTAGTTAAGAATTTATGCATTTACAATGCTTATAGACACTTTATAGTTTATGCTTAAAATTCTAATGTTTGAGATTAGGAAATGTTATATCAACTCATTTGGTTGCAATTTTTGAACAGAGGTTTTAAATTGAAACAGGCTGGCTGTCTTGTGCATGAACTCTGTTTTATAGCTGTCTTGTGTATGAACTCAGTTTTATGAATTTGTTTGCAAGAAAAAAAACATCCACTATCATGATACATCAAAACTCTTTAAGATAGGATGGATTCTATATAAGTCGTCATAGTACAGCTCTCATGGAGTAGCAGCAACAAAACAGTATGTTTCCCAAAAAAAAAAAAAAAAACAAATGATAGATCCCTAAAATCGATAGAAGTTTCTAGGCTTCAAAGAAGACTTAACTCTCAGACAAAAGTTTTCTCTTTGCAAGCTAGAGGCTAGAGCATAACAGCCAGTCTCAATGGTTAAAACCCACCGCTAGCTTATCAGTAGCAAACCCACACAACAATATGAAGCCACTCTCATCATAATATCATATGAGACATTTTGAATTGTAATATTTCCAATTTGTACAAGCCCGAGACGGAAGTATGAGACTGCATAAGTTTATATGTATTCGACTACTAGCTACGATGACTGAGAAAATTTCCATTCTGATATAGTTATAGCTTTGCCCATTTTTTGTGTTTTTGAATTTGTCTAGTGTGGTTGTAACTTTTGGTTTTGTATTGTGTACCAATTGCAGGAGGTGGATAATATTGAAGTTGAAGAAGATGCTTCATGAATTACTTTACGAGAAATTGGAGAAACAGGAGAAAGAAATGATAATGCGGTCCAAAGAATTGCCGAAAATTTTGTTTGGCGGACAAATTGATTTAGTTTTAACTTTTAATTATTATTTTTTTAGTTTAACTAGTGATAATTTACTTTGTAATTTTCCTTAACGATAATAATGTACAAACTTTGAATTCATATTAATCAAATTCTAATCTTTTTTTTTTTTTTTGAAAATTCTGATTTTAATTGTATTATTATTATTATTATTATTATTATTATTATTATTATTATTATTATATTATTATTATTATTATTATTATTATTATTGTTATTATTATTATTATTATTATTGTTATTATTATTATTATTATTATTGTTATTATTATTATTATTATTATTATTATTATTATTATTATTATTATTATTATTAACAAAAACTTACAAAGTCAAACATTTTACAAGAAATTAGTGGGTAGCCGAGACACAATCTGGGCCCCCACTCCTCTAGCTATGGCGAATCCGATCCTGCTGAAGATGTGAGCAGCGGCACGGGCACCAATATCCTGAGTCCTAGCGAAAGCCTGAACCCGCTTCAACAACGCAACAACATCCTTCTCTAATTCCCCCAATGAAGAAAAGGAGAAAGGAAGAAAACCATAGCCAATAGCCCTGCAACGCGCCCCATACTTGTCTCGCTTCCGCTGAGCCACAGCCGACACAACACGACCAGGAACGAAGTCAGACAACCCAGATTGAGTCAATGGAGAAGACCTCGTCAAGTCAACACATACATCTAGGCCTCTATCCCAGGAGTAAAGCAACACATCTACTGGCCGAAGAGCCCCGTCGTTACCTCCACTCAACCCAACGTTGACCTCCTTCCTTGCAGAAATCCCAGAGCGGAAACAAATATCAACAAGGGTATCACGAACAACGTTGTGCCGATGTTTAATACCCACCATCCCAGCACAAGACACTGCATGATCCCCATAAATATCCCCATCAAAAACCCTTGAGCAAGCAGAACAAAGTGTCGATACGGAGAACAAGGGAACACCCAACCGGTAGCAAAGAACACAACGGTAAGTCTTACCATTCATAGTCTGACCCAGACCTGATATCAGGACCGCACGCAACCAGGCAGAAGTGTGATCCCCCTGCTGGGACTTCCATAAGGCAACCTGACGCGGAAATAAGGAGAAAGCGAATTCTGCAGAAGCAGTGACCTTCGTGAAATATATATCTGCCAATTTCTTCATGAGTTTGGGGGCAGCGATCTCACTAGGGTTACGCAAAAGGTCAGTCTCCAAAGTCCTATTAAAAAGACTTAGAGCGTCATCGAAGGCCGGACCCGGACCAACAATACCAGAATTGCGAAGAAGCGAAGCCTGAACACCAGAAGACTGCAAACGCGACGCAAGGAAAGCATAGTGTCGAACATCACCCGCTGAATAGACACCCAATCCCCCATAAGAAAAAGGTAAGGTGGCAAGCCGCCATTGCCAATCACCAAAACCTGGCCCCGAAGCAGTTACAATACGTTCTACAGAACCTCGAAGGGCCACATCAAAAGAAATTTGGACCGCTTCAAAAAGACGAGGAGGACAAGTGCGCATAGAAAAGTAGAGTTTTGAAACTCCAGTACACGCACGAAGTAGTAACAACTCACATTGGGGATCCTCAAGCTTAGCAACAACATCCATGAGCACAATGGTCTTCGACACTCGCTGCGAAACAAGCTCACCACAGAAAAAGGCATCCGCACTGACAAGACCCCCAAGCAGCTTAACACCATGAGCAGGACGAGCAATATCTGGAGGAAAGACACCGGCCAGACGGCTACAAGGGTCCTCCGTGGGCCAGAAAACTTCCGTTTTCTCAACGTTAACATGGAGGCCGAGACGAGGTCCCTCCACCAAAATCAAATCCAAAACCTTCCCTACCACCAAGGTGTCACCAATAATAGTGCCATCATCCAAATACCAAGCCTGCAAACATAAGTCGAAAGAATCCCTAATTCGACAAACCAACGGATGAAGCACCAAAGCAAAAAGCAAAGGGCCAAGAGGATCACCCTGCTGCACACCTTGACATGACCTTAAGGTATGCTCCCCATAATAGAGCCTGGCTGGAGTAGAGTAACAGAATTCAACCCAACGCGAAAGAGCTGGACAACGGAGACGAACCTCACGCAGTAAAGCCGTACGATCAACCAAATTAAAGGCATTCCGGAAATCCACCAGCAACATAGAGAGGCCAACATCACCACCCCGAGCCTCAATCAAACGATTAACAGCATGAAGAATAGCCTCGCCACCTGCCGGCACCCCAACACCGAACTGAAGACCTCCTAAATAGTTCCCCATACGCGGACCAAGTAAAGCAGCCCCAACCTTTGAAACCAGACGCCGCCAAACAGTACCCACAGCGATAGGACGAATACCACCACCGGGCTTAACAAGGGGCGTGAGAGGAGCACTAACAATATACTCCCCCAACTCAGCCGGACATTTTCCTGCGAGAAAGAGATTAACCACCTGCGTAATAGAGCCCACCAACTCATCTAAAATAGCAACCGCAGCACCACTCAAGCAATCAAGAAGGTGCTGAGCACGCAAGCCGTCTCTTCCGTATTATTATTGACGCATTAGGTATAGTGAACCGTGGCATTAGGGTATATGCATTGTGTGGCATTAGGTATAGGGAACCGTGGCATTAGGGAATATGCATCGTGGCATTAGGTTTAGGAAACCGTGGCATTAGGTATTATAGCTAATGCCACGGCAATAATGTTGTTGTTGCATCAGGTATTGATCTAACGCCACGGATCATTGATGCCGTGGCATTAGGTGTCATATGCCGTTGCATTAGACCTATTGCAACGCCAGCAGATGCCACGGTACAAGACCGTTGCATTAGGCCTAATGCCACGGATTTTGACGCCTAATGCAACGGATTTGGGGGTTGCAATAGATCAAAAATATAGTAGTGTAACAAAGATATCACCAAATGTCCAAATGACTAACGAACGTTAACTCCATTAGTCATTATGGTTAATTATGCCACGTGGCATCATGGTTCTATTTTAAATTATATTTATTTTAAAATAATTATTTGATTAATTATTATAAATAAATAAACCCACCCACCACACTGCCCAGACATCCTCCCCCACCGACGCCACCCTACGTTACGTTGCCTCCACCCCCGCTACCTCCCCGCCGGTACATAATTTCCCACTGAACCCCTACGCCACCATCCCTTTTGAAATCGCCCATACCTTTCCCCTACACCACCATCCCCCTACCCTAAAACTCGAAAAATCCTCCCTACCCACTCACCAGCGCCCAAACACCACCTCCATCGCGCCAGCGAACCCAAGTCTCCCATCCCCCTACCATCTCCACCCCTTTCTCCCCTCTAAACCACCACTCCAAAACCCTAAAGCCCCAAAATCAAAATCTAGGGTTTCTATTTAGGGTGGACGGTTGTTTTCCTTGTAGGGAAAGGGATAAGGGGGTTCGGGAGGAGCAGGGGTTTTTTTTTCCGATTGGTGGCTCTACATTCTAGATTTTTAAGGGTTTTGGGTGGAGGGAGGAGGTATTCAGGATAGTGTATGTGTAGTTCAAAGAAGTGAGCGTTGGCACCGACGGCGGGGTTGGGGGGAGGGACGACGCCAGCGTGGAGGAGCTAGGGGCGCCGGCGGGGTGGGGGAGGCAAGCTATGGTGGGGTGGGGTGGTGTGGGGTCGAGGAGGGATGGTTGGGGTTTTCTTAATGATTTTTGTACAAAAAATAATAAATAATTAAATAAGAACTAATCAAAGGCTGCCACTTGGAACAATTAACTAACGAGGTTGGCGAAAATAGCAATTGGTGACATTTTTGTGAAATTTATGACTTTCCAAATATATGGTGAACTGGGTTACAAACCCGTGTAATGCACATTTTATATAAAATCTATTTTTATAATTTGTACATTTTAAAAATAAATGATAAACATAAATAAGAATTATGCACTTTGTACAAAATATTTTTAATTTTAAATTATTAGATTTTCATCAAAATTATAATGTAATACCGGTTCAACGTCACCTAGTACATATTTCAATGTAGGAGTCCATTTATTAGTGTGCTATTTAGGCGGGAAAAAATTTATTATGTGATTGACATGTAAACAGTGATGACATCAGCAGTTAATAGATTTGAAAATTTTGATGGATATATGGTGAATTAAGTAATAACTCAGGATTATTTCGTGAAAAATCTGTATTATTATTATTATTATTATTATTATTTTTTTTTTTTTTTTTTTTTTTTTTTTTTTGATAATCACAATCATTATTTACTCTTCAAGACTTCGAGACCACTCTCCATAGTCAAAATCAACAGTACCAAACCTACTCAACTCACCAATCATCATTCATATTTGTGTTCTTAAAAATTTAGCTAACAAACCTATGGCTAAATCATTCACATTAGCACTACCACCACCACAATCACAGAATCTGAATCAAATTCTAAAATCCCAACTTAATAAAAAACCCACAATTATCTCATCATCATCATCATCATCATCATATTCATGGACCCGAATTTCCAGCTTAATATTCCGAAATACCAATTGTATAAATATAACTAATAATAATGTCAATTATTATGTACATTATAGAAGATTCTCCAGTATTTTTGCTTCTCCAGTTTCTTCTATTTCTTATTGTTATTTTCCTCTTTACTCGAATTGCGATTCTCTTCGTTTTTCTTCTCTTTCTTTACTTCCTTTGCGCCGATCTTGTTTATCTTCTCTTCGGTTTTCGATAATGTCTCAGAATGATGAACATGGCGCACCCATTAGTCAGGATTCTTTCAAAACGGTATGAATTATTATTCCCAGTTGAATTTGCTCTTTAATTTGATCGCTCTTTGTAAAATTTTGATATTTGTTGGTGTTATTTTCTGGGGTTTTTCTGTAGATTTCTAATGTTGTAACAATTATATTTTTCTTTTATATGGTGGGTTATATTGAGATGATTTGGTATATAATTGAGGGTTGCAAATGGAAATTTGATAAGGTTTTCAGATTTTTTGGTGACTTGATATTTTTTTTCTTTCCTACTAGTGATTGATATAGACTGATGAATAATTATTTAAATACCATGTATTAATTGAATAATTGACTAGAAACATTTGATAGTTAGACAAGTTAGTTGAAACATTAGTTATCGATTGAAAGGCATGTTTTGTTTTCCTAATTTTCACTTATCTGAACGTAGTTCCTATACTACGAAGTAATGGGGAATGTTGATACTTAACTGATTTTTGAATCATGAATGTGTGGGACTATTGAATTGTTTAAACGTTAGTTACAAAATAAATTTAATTAATTTACCCAATTTCTGAAGTGATCTTGCTTTTAGAAATGTTTTAGGCCATCTGGTTGGAAATTATAAAAGTGCATAGAATTAATATTCCTAGAATTTTCTGAATAAATTGAAATCCATTTCTTTTTGAGACTTGAGCTTTTTGTTGTGGTTTCTTGTTGTGGGCAGGTAAGATGTATAATCAAGGGCAGAGTTCAAGGGGTGTTCTATAGGAACTGGACGATTGAGAATGCAAATCAATTGGGTTTGAAGGGTTGGGTGAGAAACAGGAGAGATGGGTCTGTGGAAGCTCTTTTTTCGGGCAAGGCTGAAGTCGTGGATGAGATGGTGCAGCGTTGTCGCCGTGGGCCACCAGATGCTATGGTTACTGCCCTTAATGTTGATCCTTCAAATGAGGATCCTGGATCAGGTTTTGAGCGCAAACCCACCGTATGAGCTTGCCATCTACTTTGATGGAGTATGTTTTAGCTGTGTACTTTGAGTAATAATCCCCCTTATTTGTCTGCTCATTTAGGCTTGTAGTGCACAAGATTTATGAAATAATAACGTACTTTAGCTCATCTAATTGTAACTGTTTAAGTTCTATCGACATATTACTATGCCTTATTTTTAAATGGGATGTGTAATATGATGAATATGAGATGTTAGGGTCAAATCTTTCGATGTGAAAATGAAATGAATATAAAGGAAGTATATATTGGGATGTTGCTACGAGCCTATGATGTAAGTTGTGTCTGCAAATGGGTGTTTTGCGCTGTCTTCAATTCAACAGAAGATATGTTACTTGTGTGTATACTGATAGACCCCTATTCTGTAGTGACCTTGAGAGACCCCTATTCCTTTCTTTTAATTTGTTTTTGATGGTATATTCAGTAACCATCAAGCAGATAAATAAGGTTTAGCATCGACTAAATCTTTCTTATAATGCCATTATATGAGATGTTTTGAAAGTTCTATAAAAAAAACATGATTGTGGGTTTGGCAGTAAATTTGTTTGGTAAAAGGCCAATCATCCTGCATGTTATAAGCAGGCTGATTTAGCTCGTAGCTCACACGCTGACCTTTTGAAGCTTCAGTGTAGGGACTCCGTATGAAATGATCTCCACACGTAATAATTTGGTAACTTGTTTTTTTCGATGGCCAGAAAATAATAAATGTCTATCTCCATTTTATGCTTATCTTTTGCACATTTCTGTCTTGCTCTTCTCATGGGCCTGTCGAAATCCAAACAAATAGCAAGTATGAATGTATGATCACTATGGTTTCGAGAACATTTAGAAAGATTCTTGTGTCTCTGGCGATGAATCTTGTTACTGCTTCACGTTACATTTATGGCATAATGCATTGTCACATGAGATTATGAGAACATTTATGGCATAATGCATTGTCACATGAGCACTTAGCACTTCCGCAAGGACACTATGCTCTCAGAATACCAAAACAAATCTTTTACTTTATGGACGTTGAGTTCAATTGACGGATAAGTGTTTTTAGTTCTGTAATGAGATTCATTAGTCATTACAGAATAATAGTCATGCCCGATTTATTGAGGTGTAGTGGTGTACCAGTTTCCAGTGACCTTGTGCTGTTTTCACTGACCTTGTTGTGCTGAACTATTTTGTTGAATAACCTTTACAACATTCCATATGTCTCAGTCTAAGAATCCTCTGTTCCACTTCTGTCTTTGGCCGTCATGAGTCAGTTGTTGATGCCTATGTTCGACTACTCTGGCTCTTCTCAGCTTACCTCCAGGAAGATTAGATAAAATGGTGTTGATTTTGAGTTATATTTTCATTTTCGAATCATCCAATATCATTCTATTTCCATAACTCTTAATCCAACATGTACTCTTAGATGATCTCAAGCAAAGGGGGAGCGAGGGGAAGATATCAATTTGTCCTCTTAAATGATACAGTACCAACACTAATCATCTCTTGTATATTATATTCCATTTAAACACTATCAAATACATGAATTAAAAAGAAAAAAAATGTATATTTGGCTCAATTGCACAAAACTTAGCCTAGTTTCATTAGCTTTCTCCTCACGTCACATGATACCCACTCCTACCCTACTCGTACTTTTTTAATATATTCAACTCAACCGCATAACATTAAGTGTTGGTTAAAGTGTTGCAATTAAAAAAAAAGAGTATCTCATCCAACAATATATTCTACCCATAACGTTCCCAAATCATATCCTTAGACATTATGATAGATTTTAATAACTACTAACAAGAATTTAACTAACAAGGCTAAAACAATAAAAATCTTTTGTGGAAAGTAAAAACTTGCAGCCAAAAATACCTAAAATAATTTGGATGATCATGAATCACATCAAAGTACTGGGAAAATGTCTACAACTACAAACAACAATTGAGGAGCAAAATGGATGATAATCTGGAAACAAAATAGATAAGACACAGTACTTTTTTCTTCAGATGAACAAGAATGTAAATGGAAAGATCAATAAGAAAACAAAAAATGAATTCATATGGAACATCATATTCACGAGATTCAATTCCACAATGGATGTGTCAAGTAAAGTGTAGCCTCAAGTTTATATCAGCTTAGTCCTTTAAAAGGATAATACATTCCTAAAATCATATTATCACGGTTATTTAGATGGCAACGGACCAACATTAAAGATCCCATAACATTACTTTGTTTCTAGGATGAGCCTGAACTTCGCCTGCACATCTACTAGCATATCGGATACACATATGCCTCTATTAAAAAGCAATCTACACCAATAAACTTTCAGGTTTACACTTCGATGCCTCAAGCTACCAAAACAATTTGATGTGACAAGTGCACTGCCTCGACCAAAAGGGCTATGAAAAACTTTGCAAAACTGTGTTCTACAGAAGAAAGCTCATGCAGGAATAGCAGCTGGGAACTTCTTTGTCTTAGCATGAAGCCTTGCCATAAATGCTGGGTTGGCTTTAAGCCTTTGTTTGACATATGACGTTCGAGCCTCCTCTACCAATGCATTAGCTTTACCAGCATCTTCAATAATATTAAGCAACGTTCTCAGGCAGTCCTTCCTATTCTCTTCACGATGTTCAAACCTGAAAGCAAAATAGTCTTCTAATGAGATATGTTCCCAGACAGGCAAGGAAGATCCAATTCAAAGGGCAGCTAACTATTTTGTGAGCAACATGAAGAAATCGGATATAATGTGACTTGTAACCCACAGAAACAGATCACAAAAATATGATTGAAACAATGTCGGTCGCTTCTCTTATTAGATAGTACAGTAGCTACCAAATGTTGAGCAATTGACAGAAGGCAAAAAACTAGGCAAGCCTAGCACAAAAGACATCAGCGAGCAGTGAACCAACAAAACAATCACCAACAGATTTAATCACCACAATGCTCCAAAATAAAGGAAAAGGAAACTAAAATTGGTATTATACATAAAACCCAAGTTTCACCCATATTCTTAAACTAATTGTGAATTTCGTCCCAGGTTTTTTGAGTTCTTCTCAAATAGCAAGTATTGTTTTTCAGTTTTGTTTCTTTTCATTCTTTGATGTGATAATACTTAGGCCATGAAGAATTGGGAGTAATAAATAAAGGGAGTAATAAAAGTCAAACTACAAGAAACATAAGTGATTAGAGCTGATATTATAGAATAAAGTGTTTACAAGTGAAATAAGGTAGTTGTGACATGAAGAAAGTAGAGAAATGGAGGAATTGTTACCTTCATAATGAGGGTAATAGTTGCCCTTCCCTTAGGATAACTATTACCACCAAAATGAGGGTAAAAGGGTAATAGTTCCTTTTTTCTTCAACTCTCAATCTCTCACCACACCAAAACTACCAAATTTAATAATCCTTCTTACAATTACACCATCATTATCTCATCCTTCCTTATATTCACTTTTAGTTTCTTTAATTTGACTTTTTAAACCTTAGTAATACATCACTCTCAATCCAAGCATGTCCTTGTATATAACACTTAGAAGTATACAAGTACATCAAGAATGTTTTCCTTAAACAAAAAAGACTTCCTGGAATGTTTTTGTGCGTGAAACGAGTACAAGATTACAATACGCTACCTAATCATATTAATTAGCCCAGCAGTGCTACTGCTCGGTGTTCCAGTACACATTCCCAATAATTCACAGGAGGGCCAAATATTAGGTCAAAGTGCTTGTAATTAATCAAGATGGGTTAAATTTAAGATTACTACAAAGTACAAACCCTTCCAAAAGAACAAAAGTCTTCTACCTAAATACGGATACACTAACACTAATCATCAAAAAAAAAAAAAAAAGAGTAAAAAAATTTTACCAAACAAAGACAAGTTAGCAGGGCTCTCAACCTCTGCAAGCCCACACTGCTTCATATGATCATATCTAGGGCATCAATCCATTCAAATTCACCAATAGGTGAAAGGCTTTACACACTACTAATTTTCCATTCAAGTTAAGTCAAGGTGATGCTAATCACATTATGTAGTGAGCTAGTGACTGTTTAATTCTACATTCTTTCCACCAGTCAGACCCCTAAGACAATGTCAATATACAGAAGGCATGCATAGATTAACTATTTATGTTGAATCTTCAATTTCATAGAAAGTAGTATACCAGTACTTGTTAGTATCAATGTTGTCCCCTTGCTATTTCACTTCACACTTTTCTGCCCCAACATGTTTTCATTTAAGGCTAAAGATATAACAAACCAGATTCGAAACATTTCAATAATTTCAGAACACAAAATGCACTTAAAGCAAGCTGTATGTGTTGTAGGACTATAGTTTGGCAATTTTAATTGCAGAAGAATAGAATTATAAAAACTACAGAGATCTATCTCAAGCTTACCTCTCACTTATGATTGTTAGCTCGTCTTTTCCAGGATGGTATCGTTTCCCTACTATTTCCCTCAAACGACGGAACTGATATTTTGAAAGTCCAAGCTCCTTCACTGTCACTGATAATTTTACCTTTCTGTTTTTAGGATGCCAAGCATCACCACCTGGTGCAAATACCACCCGTGTATGCCATCTAAGGACTGGACCAACACCTGGTGGATCATCAGACTTCTTTTTGTCAACCTGCTCAGTCCCCTCATTGGATTGTGGAGTTCCCTCTGCCTCCACCTTCTCTATATACTCAGCCACAATCTGATCTTCAAACTCCTTGAAGTGCTGATATGCTTCCTCTGGTTCAAGCTCCTGTCTTTCACACTTATCTCCCAACTCATCAAACTTTGCTTGGACTTTCTGCTTCATGTCGTCTAAAATAATCCGTTCACATTCATTGTTTATAAATGGAGACTTAGCATTGAAAATAAATCATATTCTATCACTTAAATTCGACTATTAACAGCAAGGAAATTGAAGTAGTAAATTAGTAATAAGGAAACAACTAACTAGATTAAGAAATCATAAGACATCATCGCTGAAAAGAAACTAGCTAAAAATGAAAGATTATGAATATATACCTGGGAGGAGCTTGTCCCAATCGCGCATATCCTCCAAAATCTCCTCACACTCCCTCATATCCCTAGCATATCCTTTTTCAGTTGCTTCCTTGATGATGGCATTCCACTTTTTGTCATCCATGTTAAAATATTCATCCTCCATCATCCTTTTGACAACTATATCCTTGGCACTGTACAAGTCAGGAATATCATCATCTGTTTTATGACCATCCTCAAAATCTGACTCAACTTCTTCGTCAACTACATCATCTATTGGACTGA